TAAAGTTTCATATGATGGCAATCCAATAAAATTACAGAATTTGACAATCACGAATCAGAGATTGAGATATTTAACTAAACATTATCTAAAATATTAGATTCTAGAAACACAATAACGAAGTGATCACATAACGAAGTACTTCAGCAGACGCAAAAAAGCACATAATAAAGGACCATTAAATCAAAAAACATGAATTATGCGTAAAAAATTAACACAAATATTTACAACAGATTAATACACTTACTCTGTAAGTTTTCCGAGTCCGCGTAGCGGTGTAAGTTTGCGAATCTTTCAGTGTCCATATGGCAATAGAGGTGGGTCGGGACAACATCATCACAAGGCTGAATGAGGGTATTGTTGTTGATGGTCCAAGAAAAGTCATATGGTCCCACCCTATATCTGTCATCAACTTTCTTTAGACTGGCACCAGAGATACGATATATCTTGAATGGGATCAAGAGATTAGCACCGGCCCTTATGTTATTGTTATAAGCAAAGACTGAAACATTAGTGCCCTGTTGTAAAAACGATAAATTTAGTTTCAGTAACCCATGAATTAGTTAGCACATATTTTAAAGTTAGCCTCAAATGTTGTTAAACGTACAAAGTGTAAAGGCCCAAATATTACCTCAGCATCACAGAAAAGGAACCTGCGGTAAGAGACGGAAGTATCTTTTTGGCTTACAAGGATATGACCTCGTTCAATGACTTGTATGACGACTGTCCATCCTCTAATGCGTGGTTGAACTTGATTGACGGTCAATGTTTTCCTCATGATTAGATTCTTTGCTGTACACATTGTAGTTTATCAAAGAAATTAGCAAAATTACTTGGCATATAGAACCTACAACAAGGATGGCATTTAACATACAATTGAGTAGCAGGAAGAAAGCATCAATTTATATCCCATCATACTCTTGCTTTTTTGGCCAAAAGAATGGACCACAATCAGTTAATCAAATAGGTTGATATACATGTTACAGCCATATGCAAACACACACAAAAAAATAATAAAAAATAAATAAAATTCCTTGGAAAAGCATGCTATTTAAGATATAAATGTCCACATGTACAGTATATTGAAGGACTAAAATAGAACCCAAATCTAATACAAATTAATTGCACATATATTTATAACAGTTTCGTGGATTGTATGTTAGTGTAAGAGCAAACAACAAATTCTCAGGCATAAATGCAGGAAAAGCGAATTATATGACTGCCCATTCACAAGAAACCAATAATCTTACTAAGGAGTAACTGTATACATTAAAAGTGTAAGAATAACAAAGTAGATGCAATACAATTTACTGCTATAGATTTAGTGTACTGTGGCCTTGGTGATTTGAAGGGCGAAGTTGAAGTTTTTTATAGACGGGAGTAAAGAGTATGGACCTACATAGTTAATTATTAATAAAATAAAAATGTTTGAAATAGAAATATATTAAAAAAGGTAAAAAGCTCAAAAATAAAATGACTTCAGATTGAAAATGTGAGGAAAAAAGGTACAGAGATTTACCAACCAAATCTTCAAAATCTGCTCCTGGTTCAGTTTTTTAAAATCGGTAAGGTTGGTTGATTGATTTACATGAGGTTGTTGAAAAAAACAGTAAATTATGGAGAGAGATGTACAGAGATCTACAAACTAAACCTTCCAAATCCGTACTTGGTTGAATTTTTTTAAATTGGTAAGGTAGGATGCTTGATTTTGATGAAGCTGTTGAGAAGAACCCTAAATTATGGAGAGAGATGCAGAGGTTGCGTGGAGGTTTGACCCATCGGCAGCGGATCGAAATTGCACCCATCACGTTGACCCATTGAACACGGCGTCCAGAGGCGGCATGGGCGAGGCAGAAATTTAGCAATTCATTATGATTGCGGTTAGAAAATAGGATAGTAAATCTGTAATAACAGGTATGGGCCGAAATTGAGGATCGGAGGTTTGGGAATTTATTTGAAATTGTAATTGAAAGAGTTGTGTGCTGTGCTGAAGTACTATTATGTTTGAGAAAAAAAAAAAGCTAATCTATTTTATGTGGTTGATATAATTCTTAGATGGGCTTTACCTTTATATTAGTTCACAAATGAATAAATAAGTTAAGTCATTAATCTTTCTCCATGGTGAGATAGTTGAGTAGGTTTTATAACATGTACAAAAATGCAAAACCTTATAATTTTGTTAATTGTAGATTAGCACTTGAGTAAATATAGAATTTATATGAGAATTTTTTTTTTTGGTTGATTTTGTATTAGTTTCTATCATATATTTTAAAAAACTTTTAAAAAGCATAGTGAAGATGTAAATTGAGCAAAGCTACCTATGATTGCCTAATTCTTTTTTGGTACAATTTCAATGCTTTAACGGTACTTTAAAAAAATTTCTATCAGTAATTTATTATTTTGGTTACGTATGTATAATTTCTAAAATCCAACGTTAAGCTATTTAAAATTTGTAACTATTAATTTGTTTATTAAATATGTTATAAATTGTCTTTAAGTTACTTTGTACATACTAACATCATCGTAATTTTTTGGCTCATTTTTTTTCCCAACCCGCAAGGCAATGCAACATGAACAAACATTATTTTGGTTTAGGACTATGAAAAGATGACTATTGACTGTTTCCCTTTGTTTACTAAAAAATAGGCAAATTTTCATCTATCAGAAGATCCTGAAAATAATAAAAAAATACAATCTATAAACAAATAATTACATTTGTACTTAATAGACAAAATATAACTGCAGTAATGTATAAAGTCAATTTCCTCTCCTTGGGGTGTTGGGTTATGTAACTTGTTGATTGTAATTACTGTACTTTCTCTGAACTATAATACATATCGTTTTGAAAAAAAAAAAAAAAAA